GGGCGCTGGAGGGCTGCGGGAGGGGAGCCCTGAGACCCGCGGGAGGCCCCAGGCCCGGCTCACCTGGGGAGTGTCTGGGAAGGGGGTGGATCGCAGCAGGCGGCCGAGCGCAGAGCCTTCGGAGCCCCTACCGCGCCGAGTCGGTAGGGGCTGTCGGCCGCGTCTGTGCGGGCGCCGGCGGCGCGCCGGGTTTCGCTCGCCCTCCTGCAGGGCTCCGAGCGCGCGGAGCAGCCGGGACCACCTGTCTGAGCCCAGACACCGCATGGCCCAGGCCCCAGGGCAGCCGCGCGTGTGCCGGGCATGTTGGCCGTCGGAGGCCACACACCGAGCCCTCTGCGCCTCAGCAGCAGGTACTCAGAGACCGAGCACCTCTGAATTGCGTTGCATGTTTGGGGGACTGGAGCTGGAAGGAATTAGCCCTGATCCTCATGTAGCTGCACATGGCAATGTCCCACGCCGGGGCCACGGAGTCCCCGCACACCAGAACGCCACGTCACCGCAGTCTGCAGGGGTCCCGGTGGCCCAGGTCCACCGAGCTGCCTCAGCTTAGGTCACGACAGGGAAAGTCTCGAAGCACAGTCATTTCTGCCCCTACATCTCTGCAGAGGAACAGCCCTGGAAACTTCCTGTGGTTGAGACCCCTCGATTTTTACTATTTGGGGTGCAGAAACTTGGAAAGTTGTTTAAAACAGAAAGCAAGGTCCGAAGATTACAGAAATGCTAAAATTTAAACAGAAAAAAAGGTTATCTTTTTATTTGTTTCTTCACGGAAATCTTGCAAAAGCATGTTTTATGATCGTCTTTAATTGATTATACACACGTGTGAGTTTGTGTTTCCAGTAGATTACTGTACTCTACTCGCCCGCACTTCATTTAACGTGCAGTTAAATTCCCGTGTTCCATAATCTTGAAAATTATATGTAAATGAAATCTGTATGGAATACAAAATAAAAGGTATAAGTGGAAAATAATTGCTTTTCAACTGAGTTCCAGTGATCATTGCAGTGAATTCGGCATTTTTTAGTGAAGGAAGTAGAAATGAAAGTACCCAGAATTAAAGAACATGCGTGTCCCCAGGTCTCGCACTCCGGACCAGGGGCCTCAGTTCCATCCAGCGGCAGCTCCTGAGCTTGGGAGGAGGTTCACTCTGCGCCCCTGTCGCAGCCTTGAGTCGCCCGAAGGACAGGAAACGGGTGGGATGAGAGCGCACGGGCGTCGAGGGGCGCGTCCGGAGCCCGGCCTGATGCTGGGACTTCGCGCCAGGTAAGGCACCCCCAACCTCGGGCCTCCCAGGGTTGCGGGGGTGCGCAGCGCCGGAGCCCGCGCGCTCAGTCGGCGGGCGGCCGCAGCTGCAGCTCCGACGGCGCCGCCCAGTAGAGGGCGGCGGCGCCCCGACACTTGCGTCCTCCGGACCCGCGCACGTGCCCACCAGCGCGCCCCGAGCCCCGTGCCTGGCCACGCCCTGTCCCAGAGCCTGGCTCCAGGCGGGAAACGGTATCGCCAGCTCTGGCGTTTCCTGTCCCGACGAAATGCGTCTTCTAAGGATTTCTCCCCTAGCCCACGCTTGGGGGTCCGTCTGCCCTCTCCCCTACTTGTACGGTGGCAGGCAGGCGAGACCTCGGAATTGCCGTAAAGGTGGCTAGACAAAATGTGCAGGGGCTTAAAAATTGAAAAACAAAAACAAAAACAAAAAAAAACTTCCCGTGGGGAAGGCTGAAGGAAGGATCAGGGAAATGGTTTGGATTTGGTGCACATGTTCTCAATCTAATTATCGTGTCAATCCCCTGGGTTTGAACCAAAAAAGTGAAATATATATGACCTGTGTAATACTCCAGAAATACATCTGGTTGGAATTCAGGGTTCTGAATCCATGGCAATATTTTAGAAATAAATTTGAGTAGTATTAAATATCCTTGTTACATTTCTGGTTGTATTTATATTATTTCCATGCTAACCAGATTCAATAGAGACATACTATATTGAATGGCCAGAGTCCTAAGCTCTATTTAAATAAAATCTAATTTCTATCAACATTTTGGGTTATACAGGCTTATTGCTCTCTACAGGGAAGAAAAACTTTACAAAAACTTTGCCAGCATCATTTAAAAAGGAAATGCTACCATTTTAAAAGGAAAATCATTCAAGATAAACCACTGACCAAAAGTGGTCTTAGCTGAGCAAAATAATTTTCAGGGACCTAAAAAATATTATAAAATACATTTTATTTTTCTTGAGTGAGTATAGACATAGACTAAGAACTATATATATAAGAACTATATATATTTATATAGTTTACAACTATATAAATAAATAATGTTTTTTAATTTATTTATTTTTCTTCAGAATGACTTTCAGCCTCGCCGTTGTAAAAGCTCAGGAGGACTCACTGACATCCAAATACAGTAGATCTACAAAGCCGTGTAGTGTATAAAATATTTAGAAAATAGAAGCTTTTAGGACCTTGATCTCCATTAGCACCTCTAAGTATAATTACATAATAGCTATGCCCCACCAGAGCACAGTGTGAGAAAGCTCAGTAAGCTCAGTAAGACAACCGGCCCAGTCCTAGAGAAGCACCTTTATTTGTCATTGAGATTACTTAGAATGAAGCACAAAAAAAAATAGCCCAGGGGTATTTAGTTACTTTTGCTGGTCAGACCCTCCCTTTAGGAAAAAAAAAAAAGCTCACAATTCCCGAGTATATGACTAATTCACCGCCCCAGTAATCAGATGAGGGACTGACCAAAATGATGTTTGTTCCCCACATCTTTCAAAGAAATAACAGCTTAGCACCAAATAAGGCAACATATGAACCAAGAATTCCTCAATTCTTTTTCTGGTCCATTTTATTTTGCCTTAAAAAAAAATTAGTGACCATACTGGGGATGTGATAATACTAACTAATGTCACTTACAGAAAATTGTAAGGCACTTTCAGGAGTTCACTCTTCCCTACCGTCCTAGAATTCATGCCTCTCCTTCATCATCTACATGCAGTTTATTAAATCCATTGAGGTATAAATTGATCATTTTCCAAAATACTATATGGATTATTACTAAAATGAAATTATTACTAAATTGAAAATGTATTGTGCTGTTTTCTGAAGATTCAAATTTAGTAATTTTTCTGATGCCCTTAGCCTAACTCCTTGAAAAAATTATCAATCAAGAATTTCTTCCAAACTAAAAAATATCCTACACTGTATGCCTTTTTTTTTTTAAAAAAAAAAAAAAAAAAAAAGCTATACTCTTTTTCCCTCACAAAAGTGTCCTCATGTTTTGAGATCTTATTTATTTTATGGACTCATAAAATAAAATTTCACCTAGAAATTTTATCTCCAGAAAAAATTGAGGAATAATCTAGGCTCTTTACCCAACTCCAAGAATAATGAAAAAATTCACAAATCTTCTGTCCTATGTGATATGTTAAAAAGAAAAATTAAGAGATTCCTTCTAAAACTTTAATTCATTTTCTGAACATTTTTTGCATCCAGGTTAGAGCTGGTTTTGAATAGTTTTCAATAAGAAACATTTCAAATAACCGAAGACAATACACAATGCTAAATATTTGCATCATAATTTATCCACGAATAGACATACTTTAAAACCATGGCTAATCTGATGCATGGTAAAACAAGCATACTCCTAATAAGGCATATGGGTAATCTTGATTTTACAAATAT